CTAATAAAAAACCTTCACATTTTTCTATTTCTGACAATAATTTCTTTTTAAATAACTTAATTCTTCAAAAACTATCATAAAATTATTATCTAGAAATTATTGAATGAACCATTTTACTTAAAAATTTCAAAATTAATTGTATTTCAAAAGAATTGCGTTTAAAACCTTCATAAATAGACGAACGTCAAAGGCTTGAATATGAAATTTTAGAAAATTTCAATTTTTAATGAATTTAAATAGAAATTTTAAGAACAACTGATTACAGAAATTCAATTATTTTAAAAAGTGATATACTTCTTCGCATAAATTAAATTACGTTCAAAAATTTATAAAAATTCTCGTCAAATTTTCAATTATTTTTATAAATAATAAAATTCTTCTCCGAAATTCAATTATTTTCAAGTAATTTAATAAAATTCTTGGCAAAAATTTCAATTAATTTCAAAAATTTTCCTCATTTCAATTATTTTACATATCTACTATTTTAATAAAATTTTCCAAAAGAATTCAATTATTTAAACAAAATTTTAATAAAAATTTTACAGGAATTCAATTACTTACCAATTTTTTATAAATTTCTTCGCACCAATTCAATTATTTTTAATTTTGAAGTTTCTCGAAAGAATTCAAATATATTCAGAGAATTTAAAACAATAGTTCTGCAAAATTCAATTATTTCGAAAAATTTAAATAAAATTCTTTTAAAAATGCTATTATTTAAGAAAATTTTAACAAAATTCTTTACAAGATTTAGTTTATAAAATTCCAATTTTAATCAAATTCTCCTATTCAATTCAATTATTTTCAATACAATTGTTCTTAAGAATTCAATTATTTTCACAAATAATACATTTTTAATGGGAATTCAATTATTTGAAAAAATTGGAATATAATTCTTCGCAAGAAATCAATTATTTTCATAAATAATAAAATTTTTCTCGAGAATTCAATTATTTTAAAAAATTTTGATAAAATGCTTTATAAATTTGAAAAATTATAATAAAATTGATGATAGAATACAATTATTTTCGTAAAATATAACATTCTTCCTAGGAATTACAATTATTGTCAAAAATGTTTGTAAAAATCTTCGAAACAATTCAATTATTTTCGTAAAAAATAAAATACTTCGAAGCAATTCAATTATTTACGAAATTTTAATAAAATTCTTTCTAAGAATTAAGTTTTTTTCAAAAATAAAACTTTTCACTGGAATTCAATTATTTAAAAAAGAAATGATGAAATTCTTCGTCAGATTTAAAATATTTTCTACTTTTTAATGAAATTTCTCGATGGAATTCAAATATATTCAGAGAATTGAAAAAAATAGTTCTGAGAAATTCAATTATTTCGAAAAATGTAAATAAAATTCTTTTAAAAATTTTGTTATTAAAAAAAAATTTGACAAAAGTCTTTACAAGATTTAGTTAATAAAATGGCAGTTTTAATAAAATTTTCCTATTCTATTTAATTATTTTCAATACAATACTTCTCAAGAATTCAATTATTTTCACAAATAATACATGTTTACATAGGAATTCAATTATTTAAAAAAAATTGATAAAATTCTTCGTCAGATTTCAATTTTTTTAAAGAAAATTTCTCAATTGAATTTAATTATTTTGAAAAAGTTTTAAAAAATTCTGAGAAATTCAATTATTTAAAAAAGTTTGAATAAAATTCTTTACAAGAAATTAAATAATATCATAAATAATAATATTTTTCTCCGGAATTCAATTATTTTCAGAAATAAAATTCTTCACAGGAATTCAATTCTTTAATATTTTTGTTTTAATTCGCCGAAATAATTCAATTATTTTTATAAATAACAAAATTTTTCGCAGAATTATTATTTTTTATTCAATTTTAAATAAAATGATAGAAAATTGCATGTATTCTTAAATTTTTTTTTAAATTCGTAGAAAGAATTCAATTATTTAAAAAAATTTTTTTATAAATTTTTTCATAAAAATTCAATTTTGAGAAATATTCAATTATTTTTTTTGTATTTAAATAATTGCATTTTTGTTGAATTTTCTAATAAAAAATGATTAAAAAATTGAATTTCACTTAAAATTTTAAAGTATAATTGAATATTAAATGCAATATAGCGTGGATTTTTAGAAATAATTGAATTTTGAAAAGGGTCTAAAGTAAAATCTTTGAAAATTTGAATTTATACACGGAGAAAAATATAATAAGTATAACTTTTACTACTTTTATAGTAAAAAATTTGCGGTAAAGCATTTCTGGTCATTTTTACTACTTTTGTAGTAAATTTTGCTACGTTCGAAATAAATTTTACTAATTTTTACATTTATAAAAATTCGAAGTATATATTTATATATTTCGAACGTAGCAAAATTTATTCCGAAAGTATAGTAAAAATTACCAGAAATGCTTTACTGCAATTTTTTTACAATAAAAGTAGTAAAAGTTACTTTATATTTTTCTCCGTGTAATTACAATATTCTTATGATATAAAATAATGATTTTATCACTCTATCATCTTAAATTTATTATAAAACGTGAAGAAATCGATTGCTCCGAGTCGAAGAATCGGAGTGATCGATTTCTTTACGTTTTATAACAATTTTTTATAAGTTGTTTAATTTCAAAAAGGTTTGAATTTGTAAATCTTAATTGCTATAGAAAAATAATAATGATTAAGTATTTATTTAAAAAAGAAGTTATTGATGTTTACTAATAATTTTACATTTAAAGAAAGTAAATGTAATAGATCATTTCTTTGAGTATCCAATAATTTTTGGAGTGAATCAATATATTCTTGTTTCTTGAGGATCAGGGAAAAAGTAAAAATTTTTCTCTGTAATATCAGGGAAATGTCAGGGAAGAGGAAAATAAAATTTTTGTCGCAACCCTGGAAAGGTTGTAGCGATTTTTGGAGGGTGAAATCGCATTCTTTCCTCTTGAATGAAAATCCGGCTGGCGTATTTTACGCGACAGGCTCAGACGCGAATAAACAGTATATCAGGATTATTCAAACTCATTTGCCTCCTCGCACTGTGCCCATTTACTTGGTCCACGAAGGAAGGAAGACTCTTCTTCGGCAAGCAAGAGCTATTTTAAAGTCGGAGACGGTATAAGGTACCTGTAGAATTTTTCCTGGAGGAGGAGCGAATGGGAGAGATTTATAGCTGTTAGGAGACAGGGTGTAATCATACGCATCACCCCATCAACCCTGTAACTCTGATTTACCGTGGGAATTTTGGAAGTTGTTTTGAATTCACTGTGTTGTTAGGGGAATTCCTTATGTTCTCCTCAATATATGCGTCACTGAGGCATCATGTTTGAAAATCCACATTCTTCAAGACACAGGGTTTCAAACGATGGTGATGATGATAATAATAAGACATATAAGAAAAGTGATTTCTACTTTTTTAATATTTCTCTTTTGGGTTAGTGATATATCATTGTGATCAAATTACTCTAATTTGAAGTGATAGGGTCGACAAACCATTACCATTAGTATAATTACGGTGATCCGAAGTCCTCTATTATTTCCGGATCGCGGGTGTTTGCCTTTTGAAAGCCCTCGCCACAAATTGCAGACTAGAACACCCGTTTCGAAGGCTTGGTCGCTTCGAGGCGCAATCATCACAGCATAAGTGACGAGTCAAAACCACTCGCGTATAAATCGTTCTAAATTTTGGAAAGCGAGAAATTCCGTACCGTGTATCATGTCGTTATGAGGAAGATTTATCGTGGGACAACCAGATTTGATCTACGACAACTTCCATGATTTTAGGTTTTAGATCATTTAATTAAATGATGCTACTTTATTTTGCCTCAGAGACATAGTGACTCAAATTTTCATTCGTATTTTTATTCAGTGCAAAACGTAACTTATGAATGTATTTTTATTTACAAAGATGCGGCATCAAAGCATATTTCATCTTAACTTTCAAACCAAGTTTAATTAGTTTCTTTAAATTTATCTTTTTAGAGGCTGAAATCTAATTAAAAGTTTTTAATTTTTAATTTTTTTTAACATATAATGTTTACATTGTAGAGAGAGGAAAAAAGAGATTAAAAGAGAGAGTGTGTGTGTGTCTTGCGATCCAGCATAGATCCCTTTTATTCTCTCCCACACTCCCCCGTAGCAGCTCGTGTGAAATTACTTCTCTGCAGCTTACTCTTATCCCCCAGCACCACCACCCTTTTGGTATACCGTGTATCCTCATTCGGTAGGAATCTTCTTGGAAATAAAGTAGGTACCTTTCTTATTTTCGTATCCGGAAAATTGCTATACTACTTTCCCAGCTGTATGAGGAGTCACACTCTGATCTTTATCACTTTATTGTCTTCCTTATAAATAAAAAGCAGATAACTTTATTGAAGATAACATTTTGCTAGTATTTTATAGTAGAAAAATATAATGCAATTGACTATTGAAAAAGGGCTTTTCCTCTACACGTTACAGTAATTATTTTTTGCAGCATTTACTTTGTCGTATTAAAAAAGAGACAAGTTTGTTTTTCTCGTAAAAGCGAAGTAGGTAACACGTATGTTACCGCATCATAACTTGGTTATGGATTTTTAAGCACGGTCGAGTTGGTCCTACTCCTGTGTACGTTCATGGGATTTTGATTTACTAGCTCGCGCCTTTACGATCGTTCCACATCCCCGTGGTCGCATTGGCCTGTTGCTGGCACAAATACTGATGCGCTTAAGTCCCTAAGTTCGTGCAATATAGGTACTCGACCTCCCACTCAGAAAAAATTGGAAAACTTTTCCGTTTCAAACATCCATCAGAGAAAACACCAGACCATTATTCTTTCCCTGAAATTGTATCGTAAAAAGGTTCCCTTCGCTTAACTAAAAGCCACTTTGCTATCTTTTCGCAAAATATCTGTATATTTACATTAAAACTCTCATGTTGCCTAGTCGAGCGAATAAAATTCAACTTGAATTCTTCTCTTATAATTTCTTATCTATTGAAATAATAATTAACGATTATTTTATTTTCTATTTTTCAGGTAAATGGTGTCCACGTAGAGAATGGAGTTCGCCACCAGACGCTCAAAGAGCAGCGAGCGACGCTGCTCGACGGGGAGTTCTTTATTCTTCCGTATTCCTCGGCAGTCCCGGTAAGTTGTTGTTGTTGTTTTTTTTTCTCCCAAAGTAATTAAATGCGATTTTAATTCATTTTCAAATATCAATTTGATTGTTCTGAAGAGAGAGGCAACGGCTTTTAAAAAAGCCATTAAAACATCGCGAGAGTATATGAATTTTAGTGTCAAAAATAAAAATACACGGATCACATTCATCCTCGCTTTGGTGTTAGTAAAGTGAGAAGAGTTAGTAGCACTCGTATTTACGTGGTGGGTGGTGCAACTGGTTTATGGCATAAACAAGTTTTAATCACGTCCCGGTATTCGCCGTGATGAATAAATATTGATATCGAGTGATGCGTTGACCAATCACAGTCAAGTTTTTAGGATGCTCTTATCATGACGTTGATTCCTGCAATTCTGATTATAGATGTATTAGTACGTTTTATCGGATCTTCTCTATTTGGTAATAATTTTATTGATAACCAAACTTTTTAACACTTCATTGCTTTTGTAAAAAACAATTCTCATTATGATTGCTCTTTCAAGACGAGGGAATAAGAAAAGTTGACTCATACAGACTGTTGCTATATAATTGTTAATCTGTTCTATTTTTATAGGCTCTTGAAACTATATTTGTAATCTAAACTTTGTCTTTCTAAAAATGTCAAACCTTTGCAAGTTTTCAAAGCAAATCTCACTTACGCGAATCGAATATTTAATTGCTAATGAATTAGTTACTTTTGGTATTTTTAATTATACAGTTTAAAATTAAAAATTGCGAGATAATTCGTGTGTTGCGACAAATAAATTTTGCTTGAAAATGAAGCCATATTTTTAATGAAGCAAATATAGTAAAGTGGCAAAAGGACACGCATTGTTTAGTTAAAGAAGGAAAATAAAAAAAAAATGTTTCGCGCGTGCGTTAAAAATTGCATGCAGTGTCCTTTTCGGTCGAGCCGTGTACTACACTCTTTGCTCGCATGAGGGAAGGACTAGGTGGACTATAGCGGAGAGGTTAGCGTACAAGAGTGAACGCTGCGAGAGATCTCCATGGCAACCAGGCGAGGCGGGAATGCGACGGTAACCATGGCAGCCGCGGGTTTCTCTCAGGCCAACCTGTCTGTCCTCTTTTGGTTCCTCGTCCTCCTCATCTGTACCTCTTCCTTCCGCCCACGGACTACTCTCTGGCACGTAGCAACTTTACTCCCTTCACTGTAGGAGGTGGTGAATAAGAAGGTGGAGAGGAGGAGCGGTGCACTGCGAATGGAGAAAGAAAGATTCTCGATGGTGTCCAAGACTCGACGCCTCGCTCGATGTCAGGACAGATCGCCATCTACTGTAATCTTTCTCTGTTTTATGAAGTATATCCAGAAAATCAAAATACTTTAGATATAAGATGATAATAACCTTTCGCTTATCTATGCTTGAATTCTTTCGTTCGATCCGCAAACTTGAGATCTACTTACATGTTACATTAAAACATTATAATTACATTACATTATGATATAGCACAGGACTCGCATTTCAAACTTTGCCTTTACAGTATACCTTGGTATTTTTTTTAATATGTGCGGTCAAGTAAAATGTTTCAAGTGTTCAGGTTTGGAATACTGAAGCAACCACAAACCAATTTTGCAGAAATTTGGAGATCCCTGATGATCTCATTACCTTACAACAACAAATCGACTTGAATAGTGTGCCTAAAAAGCTTTCTGGAATGAGAATTCCTCTTGGTTTGGTTTTTCGAGGCTCGCATGTCATCCCTTTCCAACTCCACCTACCATTTACCACTACTCTCTTCACTTCTCGACCAGACACCGAAGGCTCCCTTTCCGTAATGTAAGGGTTGTGTTTGGCGTTAGGGGTGAGAGAGTTTAAAACCCCTAGGGGCTTGAGGTTCGGGCCGGTTAGATTTATCGGATGTTTTGGTAGGCAGCCATTGTTATCCTCGGTTCTCTTTATTCCTCTCTCAAATCACTCATTCGGTTAGCATAGAGAAATTCCGCTGGAGAGAAAGTACTGAAAGAATTCAATAGGCATAAATAGGTTTCAAAAGAGGTACGAACTGAAAAAGGCCAAAATAAAGAAACAATTAATTAAATTGAATTTTGAAGCGTATGTAAACAATATTTATCATCATGTGTGTCATAGATCATCATAGATTTAAATTATTTTGCCTTTTAATGAATTGTGATACCGATGAATTGTTATTAGGTGATTCTTAATGTGAAAGGGTTTCTTTAGTAAAGTTTACAACTTGGATAGTCATAAAGTTGACAAGTATATACTTTTAATGAACAGTAGTTGCCAATCAGATTCACGTGGTTTTACGGCTTATTTATGTTCATATTGTTATCAATTTTAAAAATCGTTGTCACAAGTGGTCTCCTATTGAATTGGACCTATAATAAAAAAACAGAAGCGTGCACCTTCTGACATTTATTCGAGATAAGCTTCAGCGTAGCTCAGTAGTAAACAACTCGCAGGTTTCATGTCCATGTTCCTTGTCCATTGTTGACCACGTCTCATATATATTCGCTCCACTTCCACGATCTGCCTCGCTAACATGGATTCCTTTTCTTCTCCTTGTTTTTTTTATTAACATTGCGCAGAGTTTGAGCGATACCCAGACTTTTGAACCTTGTTGATTCTCTTTTCAAAATATTTATTTTTCTCCTTCCTCTAGTATAAGTTGCTTTTAGATGAAAGAAATAAATAACATTTCTGTCCAGTTTAAAAAATCATACAACAATAAAGTTCACGTAAGTTTAGTAAATTCCTTCTCTTCGGTTACCATAGTTCCAAAACTTGTATTACTCCGCCGAAAACACGAGCGTAATTACGGTGAAAATAGTGACACCGGGGTGTATTTTAGGTTGTAATAGCTCGCTTCCCGAGATACTTTTCGACCCTTAATTTCCTTATCGTCAACCTCCGAAAGTCTTCAATTGTCACTGGTAATAAGGTAAACTGTTTTCTAAAAAATCAAAAGGGAAAATCAAGACCAGTAACTTGAGAATTCGGTGTCTCCTTATGACACGAAGAAATGACAGGGACTATCCTGTTCAATTGTCAAACTCCTTACAATATTGAGATTCCAGTAAAATCTGGTAAATGTAGAAAATAATTCTAATTTACTCAAAGGGTTATTTGTGAGATGACATTTGTGTAGGTCGGGTACAGAAAGTGACAGGTTCATCGAGTCAATTCGATAGTAATTTTGGGGAACGTTGTGATTTTCAGCAGGCGTGATGATCATCCTTTTCAGCTCGCATGATAATAGCCAAACATCTCGAATTTTGAATCCAGTCGTATTTTCATGAAAGAGAATACAATATAAATAAAGAATTTTAATAAATAAACATTTTGACCATAACTGAGAAATTGCTGCAGCCATACCGACAACGATTAACTTTGTAGAGATATTAAGATGCATTTAATTTATATTCTGATCATTCCTGTTTGTATAAGTCTTTTGCAAATGTTGACTCGTTTGTGTTCCACCGTGTGGAACATTGGTGTTTGCGTTTTACCGGGACGAACAAAGGATGGAAAATTCTAGTGAACATAACGCGCTTTCCGCCTCGACAAGAACCAATTACACACCCGGTCTTTTTCAAAAGCCCATTCTCCTTGCGCGCGCTTGATTTGAAGACTATTTGTATGTTGGTGTGCGTGAAACAATTCCCATATGGTATACACGTGAGAATCTCTTGATCCTGTGCGTGCGTCCAGTTTCTGACCGCTGGAACAGAGAATCAGAGATAGATAGTATGGGCTGAAAGAGAGATGAAGAAGAACGAGAAACGAGAGAAGTTGAAGAGGAGAAGAGGCTACATGCTGCAGTGATGGATCGTCCAATCAGTGCCGCAAGATGGAGCACGAGGTGAGAGAGAACGCGTGCGTCTACCTACAGGTTAGCACAGCACATCCAAAGAGAGGAGTGGAGAGAAGAGGTCATGGTCGGGTCGCCCTTCAACTAATCGAAGAACATGAGGTGGTCTGCCGTTATGTTGCATGAGTTTAGAACCGAACTTCTCTCTCACTGCTATCATTGGTCTATTTCAAAAAATTACATCAAGTATTTTTTAAAGTCACCATCTAACGATGGTTTCTTACATTTCTACAATTCGCTGCATTACTTCATCACAAGTGGACGAAATAGTCATAGTCAATAGTATTTCTAATACAACGAGAGATTGGAAAAGGTAAATACTAAATTTTAATCAATGACAATCATCTGGTGCCCATTGTGATTATTGACAATTATTTTCAGTTGAATTTCGAAAGTTGAAGAGTCGTTTACAAAAGTTTTCTCAATCTGTGCCTGATAGACGATGTACGAAATAAAGCAGTGCGACATGGTCCGTGGGTATTCATTAGTTCCTTATTCAAAGCTGAGGGAGTAGTTCCGGAGTTACGCCGAGCTACAAAGCACAAAGCTCCGTCGTGGAACAATGAAAACCGCAGATTTCATGAAGCCAGCCCGTGGAGATGGGCACAATGCTTTAACCAATGTGTATACTACTGAACGCGCACGCGAACGAATCCTCTTCTCTCTCTATTTTCTAAGTTTATTTCACTCTTACCTCTCTCACCCCCCCGCCCCCGTCTCTTGTGTAATATTCATACGTGTTGAATATATTAATGCGAGGAGAGATATGTAAAGCATGTATGAGGGAGTTTAAATCCCCTCTTTTCTGTCTGGTCTCTACCCTGCGCATTGCAGCAATATTAGTGAAATGTGTCTCCGAGCGAACCCATGTGCGGCTCTGATATTAAACAGGCATCTGCGCGTTCTGGAAAGTCATGCTCGTCTTGCGGAGTTGCATATGTGCGCCCATGGAACTCAAATTTCGTCTTCACCACTACCGAGGCAAGTAACATTTTCCTTGGGACGAGAAATGTTCGCCGCTTTAAGACGAAGGAATTGAAAACTTGGCTTAGGGACACCAGCACTATGCACACGTGAAATCGACTGAGGCTGTCTGTGAAAGTCACTTGTGCCAAGTGGTACTTACGAATGTACCTGT